GACGACATGGATTTCACCAGATGGAAACACCAAGAACCAAATAGACTTCATCTCAATTTCAAGAAAGTGGAGACGGAGCCTCCTGGACACAAGGTCGAGGAGAGGAGCAGATGTGGGTTCAGACCACTGTCTGGTACAAGGGACCTTCAAGGTGAAACTAAAAGCCTCGAGGATAGCTGGGAATAGGCCACAATGCAAGTTCAACACTCAATTACTGAAGGACACAACCACAAAGGACACTTTCACTGCAACTGTCAGGGCAAAGCAGGAAACACTGCGTGACATCACTGAGGAATCATGCGTGGAAGAACATTGGAACTCTCGGAAGGTGATTTTCAAAGAAACCTGTTCAATTGGTTTAGGAAGAGAGAAGAGACAAGACAAGGAATGGCTCTCAACGGACACTTGGAAGCTAACAGAGGAGAGGAGAATGGTGACAGAGAAAATGACTCAATGCAAGGGCAGACAGGAGAAAGACACGCTGAGCTCAACGTACACAGCACTGAACAAAGAAGTGAAGAAGAGTGCTAGGAAGGACAAAAGACGATTCAACGACAACCTCGCCACTGAAGCTGATAAGGCAGCAGGCAAAAGGGACCTGAGGACACTATATCAGATAACCAAGTCTCTATCTGGGAGGAAATTAACACAAGCGAAACCTATAAAAGACAGCCAAGGGAACCCAATTACTAAGGAAGAAAAACAGATTAAACAATGGGCGGATCACTTCAAAGGATTACTGAACTGATAAATAAACTACACCACTTTTAAAACCTAGTGTTTTCATTTGAACATCGCTCTAACTAAGACACATTCCCGCTAAATAATTTTTTTATTCTTTAATGTTCTCTGGAAGGAGGGAAAGGTGTCTACTGACTGGGGGAAAGGTTACCTCGTGAAACTACCAAAGAAGGGCGACTTACGCCTCACTCTGCAAGAACTGGCGAGGAATCATGCTCCTGTTGACGCCAAGTAAAATCCTGAGTCGCATCATACTGGAGGGAATAAAGGACGCACTGGATACAGAATTCCGATCAGAACAAGCTGGCTGCATTCAGGAAAGTCAGGCAAATCATGTTCTGACCAAATTGCAACTCCACGAATCATCACCACAGAACAAAGCATGGAATGGCAATCAAACCTCTACCTCAACTTTACAGACTTAGACTTTGAGAAGGCCTTCGACAGCGTTGACTGCGAAGTAATTTGGAAACTACCAATGATATTCTTAATTGTGGTGGACTTGATTATGCATCACACAGTGGGAAACGAGAAGACAGGAATATCCTGGACCGACGTAAAGAACCTAGAAGACCTGGATTTCGCGCGTGGATGATTTATGTGTGATGTCACTGTCACAAAATCGAAGACTTACAAGCGAAAACCGACAAACTGGTCGAAGAAGCAGCAAAGACAGGTGTCAATGTAGTTGAAGATTGAACGATCAATTCATGGTTGTTTGCTCAAAACCGACTTCCCCAATTTTCGCGAAGGCATCAATACGACAGTCATCGTCTCATCGGTCGCTGTTCAGAAAGAAGTCAGCAGAAAACCGTCAGAAGTAATATTGTGATTTATTATTGTAATATTTGTTCATAGACCTTAGTTGTAAAGTTGGCTATGTGTTGGTGTTAGAATAAAGAATTCTCGAGTGGCCAATCGGTGTTTTGGTTTTCGCGTCTGTTATTACTAAGCGTTTCTGAGAAACTTCAGGGAACAGCGTGAGTCCCAGCGTAGCAAGAGCTGGGCATTAACGGTTTACGAGACGTGACTGACAACAGGACTCCAGGTAAACATAGACAACACGGAGGTTATGAAAATAACCAACCAACAACAGCAACAACATCCAACGTCAATCACCATCAACGGGAGGGATTTGAAAGAGGTTACTTCATTCACTCACTTATCTAGGGAGCATTGTCTCAACCACAGGCAGTCGGAAAGGACGAGGATGTCAATTCGAGAATCGGGAAGGCGAGAAACACATTCATCAACCTGAAACCAATCTGGAAATCTTCATCACTCAGCATCACCAACAAAATTCGGTCGGATTTTCAATACAAACATAAATTCAGTTCTTCTATATATGGATCAGAAACTTGGCGGGCCACAAAGAATATTTTCAAAAGGTTGCAGACCTTCATCAACAACTGTCTTCGCTCAATACTGAAGATTAGATGGCCGGACCGGAAAGAATCACCAACAAGGAGTTATAGGAACAAACAAAACAAGAACCAATCAATTGCCCAACAAAAATGCAGGAGAAAGTGGAGATGGATCGGACACTCGCTGAGGAGGCCGCTGGGTGACATCGCGCGAGCGTCAGGCCATTGCTCGAGTGGAACCCGAAAGGGAAGCGGCGTGTGGGACGTCAGCGCAAGGGTGACATGGAGGAGATCGTGTGAAGAGGAGTTGAAAGAATATGGATTAACATGGATGCAGGCGAAAAGTATAGCAGAAGACAGAAGCAAATGGAGACGTTCAGTTGAAGCCCTATGTCCCACTAGGAACCCAAGGGAGCAATAATAATAATAATTCTTGGATACCGTTTCTTTAGTCACAAAACCCAGCCCAATAGAAAGTCATCATGGTTGAAGAGAGGCACGCAACGTATTCGGCAAACGAAGCGGAAGGCTTGGTTTACGTGGCGTGTATCTAAGAATCAGATCGATGCATACCTGAAACTCAGAAACCGGTGCAACGTGAGAGTCAGGAGGGACAGGAGGTCATTCTAGGCTAACCTTGCTAAAAATCTCCCAGCAAACCCCAAAAACTTGTACCGATTCATTTCGGAAAGTAAACCGACAAACCAAGGGCATGCGCTTTAGTAGGCCCAAACGGTCAACATCTTCCTAGTCTGGAGATGGTTGAAACACTCAGTTCAGCCTTCGCCAAACAGCTAAACAGCAATGTGAGTATTGCCGTTACGGACGAAAATGGTGGCACCACTATTTCACAGGAGGAAGACCTAGTGCCTACTCCCGAAATAAACCTCACAATAGTACTAAGGAAGCTACGGCGACTCACACCTAGGAAGTCCCCAGATTGTGATGACATCAGGCCATCTGTTCTGAAACACTGCGCCGAAGCTCCCTGTAGGCCCTTGTGCGACTTGTTCCAATACTCAATGGATTCGGGGACACTGTCAAGGGAGTGGAAAAGAGCCATCCTTTCTCGAATCTTCAAAGGTGGGGATAGGCAAAATGCCACTAATTAGAGACCAGTAGCTCTACTCCCAGCGGTATCAAAAGTAGTGGAAAGTATTGTTGACGATCGCATCAGGGAATATTTTGATAGGTGTAATATACTCCATGAAGCCCAACATTGTTTCAGAAAAGGAAGATCCTGCGTCACTAACCTACTATCAGCTTGGGACGACTGGAAATCATGCTGGGATATGAATGTTCCAGTCCACGTGGTCTTCCCAGACTTTGAGAAAGCATTTGACACTGTTCACCATGACCTTCTCCTACACAATATAAGCCAGGCAGGTATAGGTAAGCCACTTCTGTCATGTTTAAGGGACTACCTAGCCGACAGACAATTTTGCACTAAGGTCAATCGAGGCCGATCATCTTGGCACACCCCGTCATCAGGAGTGTCGCAGGGTTCTATCCTACGACCACTGATGTTTTTTGATTTTTATCAATGATCTTCCATGCCGTCTAAGCTGCCCGAATTTTCTATGCGCCGAAGACTTAAAGATATGGAGGGCGATAAAGTGTCCGGAGGACACAGACAGGCTGCCGGAAGATCTAAAGCTCCTGGAAGACTGAACTCTGGCCAGTGGCATGACTTTCAACCTGAAAAGTGCAAAGTGGTGAAATTACGCACCTGTAAACTGAAGAAGGCAAGTTACACCCTGTGCAATAAAAGCCTGTCCTGCACAACGTCGGAACGCGACTTAGGTCTAGTTCTAACGGGAAAGATGGTCACAAGCGTAATTTACACGGGGGACGTAGCGAGGGCTTATGCGGTCATAGACTTTACACATAAACAGTTAGGTGCACTCACACTCGAACTCTTTCTAATGTTGTACAAAACATACGTCAGATCACACCTTGAAGTGCATAATATTATTGCACTCCCAATGCTTAGAATAGACGCCAACCTCTTGGAAAGAGTCCAACGACGGGCAACAAAAGGAGTGGTTGGTCTCCAAAACAAACCATATGATGAAAGGCTGAAGAAATTAGGCCTATTCACACTTAGCTGCGTCGGCTTAGGGGGGATTTGATTACCGCCTAAAAAATAACGAATGACCACAATCACCCAAACAAAGGTGTTCTGCCATTGAGTAGGTATAGGCTTCCTCGTGGAAATCCCAGAAGGATAGCCCACCAGAGGGCAAGGACCCGGGTGCGCTCCCACTTCTTTTCACTGCAGGTTTGTTGACCCTGGAATTCCTTACCGGAAGGTGTAGCTACGGCACCGTTTGTGGATGCCTTTAAAAGAAGGATGGACAATCATGCAGCAAAACAAGGTCCAACTGGCCTATCCCCTTAAAATCTCATAAACCATTCAGGGTAGATGACTAAACTCGTCGTTTTACTTCTTTACATTCTCTCCCGTCTTACTCTTCTGATAAATTTAACTACACGTATTATTATTATCATTATTACCGATATATATATATATATATATAAATATATATATATATAATTCAAATTATTCTTCGAATTTAATCAGCTGACTGCTGTTACGTTTTCTTATTTCTTTTTCTGTCTGTTAGTCTGAACAACTTCACTAATTATACTTATTATCATTATTATCTCTTTTGTATTGACGACGATACCGGAGGACTAACTGGTGAAAGGATCAACTCCATTCACAGTAGAAACAGTCTTCACATACCTCATACTGCAAACCACATATAATTAATCCCAGCACTACTTCTTTTGGAGTCAGCCAAAGCTACGACAGTCGAGTGGCAGGACGAGGTACGCAGAAGTTTACCGAAGGTTAGAAACCTATACCTCCCAATCAAGAGGCGAGCAGAAAGAAATCAAATTGGCTTATACTAGGTCGTAAAAACTATATTGGATATTGGACTCCAGAAAAAGCTGAACAACCTTCAGTTACAGTTAATTACAGTGAAAAGCTTAGTATTTGGATATTTACTCAGGGGATCGTAAATAAAAAGATTTCCAACTCGGCGCTGCCGACGTTGGATGTTGCGCACATCCATATATAGTGTTGGAGACCATTTAAATTCTTGGCGGGCTAATCCTTCTCCTTAAGGTCAAGTGGAAGCCTGTTGCTAAGACCTAGCTTCATGTAATGCTATTCTCCTTGGTTTATTTTGACAGTGCCATTATCTTTTTAGGGGTCTGGAAGAAGCATATATTTGATAAATACCTCATAATTTACTCAATGTTCCTACCGATCAGGCTAACTATGTCTGCAGCATTGACGATGTCGAATCCTATGGTAGACTTAGCTTTCTATCAGTTGATTTTCTGAAGAAATTTTTGTTCAGGTTTAGCAAGCATCATATGACTACATTCTGCCGACCAGAATGTTCTTCTTCTAAATTCCCCCTTTCTGAATACAAAGTTTTTAAATTGGATAGTACTCCACCACAGGAAACGGATTGCACTCGTGATGACGCATTAAAATATCTTGAAAGCCTTCATCGCATTCGCAGAATGGAGACAGCACTGGGAAATATGTATAAGGAGAAGCAGGTCCGTGGATTCTGTCACCTATATTCAGGCCAGGTTAGTATACATAATGTCCGTGACAGGTTTATGTTAAATTGATCTTGATTCGTTGCATTACTTCTTACTTTCAGTGTCAATGGTTGATATTGTTTTCTCTCAGTGTCTAAGAAATTCCATGTTTCTCTGCTTATGTCCATGGGACGTTTTGTTTTTTGTCGCGGTGAAAATAAAACGAGGTTTGTATACTTTCCACCATCCTATCACTCGATTGGTGGTGAGAAGACTACAAATCGCCGCCTGGGCCACCAGAGTGTCTAAATTCGGTCTTGATGGGCTCGCAGAATTACCATTAAGGGAAAGTTGTCGCACATCCTAACACCTTGGAACGGTCAAATTAACGTGGTTGGCATCTGATTCTATTTGTAGAGGCCTCACGCAGATTGTGACATCGTCCGTCGGCTTAAACCATCGATCTTCAAGGAATTACAAGTGTCTTGCGGAAACTGTCTGATTGATGGCAAAAGAAACCAGTCGGGCAATAAATCTTGGTAAAAGTCTAAGGCAGTGTCGAGGAAGAACTGGCATTCCTGTAAGCGCCTACGTTGTCAGTAACTGATCTGTTTTAGAGGGAATAGGTGAGCTTGGGATGTCACAGCCGTGGTTGTTCCGTCCGGGCTTAATTTCTTCTAGAAATCCATGATTCAAGCGGAACTGCAAATGACGGTCGCCAACATGCCGGTGCTCTTGACCTAAGCATTTAGGTCCCCGACTAGTACTACATTATCTCTCAGACGTGTTTGTCGTGCAGTTGGTGGTAAATCAGAACACAACGCTTCTGTAATTAGTTGGTAATCACTCCTGATGCAGCTTCCCAAAGTTGTAACTAAACTGGGCTGTTTTTTTAAGGATAATACAAACGTTGTAGGGAGTCTCTGAAAGAGGCTATTTAGCCCTTTAAACCTGCACAAGTAAGCTAAAAATTCGCATAATCAATTGAGGGAAACGAAGATAATGACACTAGAATGATACAATAAGGCGTTTTCATGTATTTTATAAGTTCATAATTCAACCATTATTTTTCTGGTATGTGCAAAGAAATTTCTCAATATTGAATCTCTCGGTAAAGATTTTAATTGTTACGTTTCCTTATATCTCTGTAGGAAGCAGTTGCAGTTGGTATTGAGGCTGCCTTACAACCAGGAGATACTATCATTACTGCATACCGCTGTCATGGGTTTACTATGACCCGAGGTGTTTCTATTCATGGTATAATAGCCGAACTAGCTGGAAAAAAGACTGGATGTACTAAAGGTGTTGGCGGTAGCATGCACCTTTATACTAAAGACTTTTATGGAGGTAATGGGATAGTTGGAGCACAGGTATATTTATTTTGAACTGTTTTAAGAATTATCTACCTTTCATTTTAACCTTATTATTGTATGTTACTTTAAACATATATCCGAACCTCATTGTAATTACTTTTTAGGAATTTTCCTCATATTTCGCCGTATCATCTTTTATTTACGATTTTTAAGGCCTTTGGGTTATATAGTTTGTACCTACTCTTCTGAATTATTGACATAGACAGTGATCGCTAGCATGCTGAAGTCGGAGATAAAATAATTCAAAAACGCGTCAATTTTTTCGATGCTGAACTTTTGGTGAGTAATTTAGATAAAAACCAAGTGACATTAAAATCAAGAGTAAGAAGAGTGTTTTACTGTGCACGGAATGATGGAGCCGCCTGGGGGGTATTAATAGTTTTCCAGAGAGAGCAATGTAGGCTGTAAAATACTTTGGAGAAATCGGACGCGTTAGCTTTACATTTATTTAGTGTCTTAAGCATATGAATAGAAAGGGATGATCCCGCATTTAACGGTTCCTACCGTTTCGAAGCATGGTCCTTAAAAATAGTCATAATTTTTTGATATCCGGAAAGAAATCATTAATTTCAAGATATGGAATGCTAGGTTGAGAAAGCCGGTCGATTGATGGGCTGGTGAATATTCACTGACTAGAACTCAGACATGTCTACACCGACCTGTATACCTTCCAAAAGAAGCAGTATTACCTCGGATAGGTTTAGAGTAGAATAATTCATCGGTGAACTAACTGATGTGCGATAGCTATCTGTAAAATGTGAGTCGGTGGCACAGTGGTTAGGACTCGCCGACCATGTACATGGTCCGAGGTTCGATCCCCTGCCGACGAACACCTGATATCTATGGTCGGCCTGCAAAATTTGGGCTACCGATATCCATGCCGAAAATTCCATGCTTGTACCAAAAATACGCTGTGGAATTAAGCTGCAATAAAAAAAAATAAATAAAAGCAATTGGCATGAACCACATCCCGGAAGTGATGATTTTCCCTTTGGAGTGTTTAGTTGCCAAGATTCATTACTACTTTCATTGTTGTTAATTAAGCAAATTACGTTTCGATAGTCACTGGTTTCATCTATGTTTAAAGCTGTGTTTTTAATGAATCTGGAGGGAAGTGTAACTAAGAACAATATTTTTCGTCTGCCTTCTTTTAATCCTTGTAGTGAGAACTTTCGGTGTTTTCAAGAACTATTTCTTGGTAGTTGGACGGTATGATTTTCTGGTAGTTACATCAGTAGAAATGTAGCCACTTTGTCATCGAAATTTTCAACATTTTCATTAAGTTCTGTCTGATTACTCTTTTCTTTTCCCCGACACGTTTGTTTTTTCAGTGTCTCCGTATATCCGTTCACTTTATTCTGTGCTGTTTTTCTCATGAGAATTAAGACAATATTGTGAAACTAATGGATCATTCACTGAAATGATTGCCATTTTGAAACCACAGCGAAGCCAAATACGTATCAACACCTGTTTCAGTAATTTAGCAATGCAATTGAAAAACATACGTAGTGAGACAATGTCCGTGTATGTCACTGATCTTAATATGTAGTTCTTCCATTTGTATGTTTCTGTACTACTAACCATATGTTTTTGAACTAAATTAATTTTTCTTGGCTAGTGTACCGGTCTTTGATTATTTTATTTATTTATTTTGATGGTACTTAATGTACTGAACGTTGTCACTTAATTTAAACTTCTAAACCTGAAAAATTATAATTAATCCTTCATTTATAGGTCCCTTTGGGAGTTGGGATTGCGTTACGCATGAAGCACCGAGGAGAAAAGTCTGTATCTGTAACACTTTATGGAGATGGAGCAGCCAACCAGGGTCAAGTGTTTGAAGCCTTCAACATAGCAAAGTTGTGGAATCTTCCTGTTATATTTATTTGTGAAAATAACAAATACGGAATGGGTACTGCAGTGCATCGTGCGTCAGCTAATACTAACTACTATACTCGTGGAGATTATATTCCCGGACTATGGGTAAGATGTGACTACACTGTTATTTTGTTGATAAAAATATAATGTAGTTGCGTAGTATTTACTTAATGATAACCACACTATATCAGACTGATAGTGATTGTAGAACTACTCAGTTGTCAGCCGTATAGTATGTCTTTAGTTTACAATCAATGTAATTTACCTTTTCTCTTGTTATATGTCTAATGTCTTTCATTCAGTGTAAAAGTTTATAAAATATATTTACCGGTGTTTTTTCCCTAACTTCTGATAGGTCGATGGCATGGACGTGTTAACAGTGAGAGAAGCTATTCGTTTTGCTGCTGATTGGTGTCGCTCAGATAAAGGACCAATATTATTGGAGACAGAGACCTATCGTTATCATGGTCACAGCATGAGCGACCCAGGAACTAGTTATCGTACGCGTGAAGAGGTTCAGTCAATGAGACGCGGTCGAGACCCCATTGCTTTGTTCCAGAAAATGGTTGTTGACAATGGACTATGTACGCAAGATGAAATCAAGGTAACAATCTGTCTTCCCATGACGCACGTATATTTTATATTTTGAACATCAATAAAGTGCTACCTAAGAAAAGTGCATTATCCTCTAAGGTTGTGAATCTTCAATAATTAGTCTCATGTAGGGTTTACACTGATTTCCATGATGTACGGTGCTAGCTGAAGTAGCATTTGGTTGAGACGTAGCGAGATAACAAACAGAGGAAATCCATGGAGTCACTGCACTTTGCTCTGGACCACATGAGGAGGTATAGATTACCCCAATAAAGTCCGCAGGATGTTAAGTGTCAGTGCTTGAAAATTTGGTGACAACGAAACGGATTCATTTACTTTTTATTGTTTTCTAGATTCTAAATACTTACATGTAGTATTTCCCTCCTTCCTATCTGTGTGTCTATTGTATTATTATGATATTTTTTTCTCTTGTTTTTGTGTAGTAGCATGAAGTGATTCTCTTCTATCAAGATTGTACCATGATCCATCAATCGGTCATATGATTTCAGCTTGTTGCAAAAGCATTGATTTTATTAGTCAGGTGTATTGTCCCAATCTAAATATGTGAACTATGTTCATTTCTAGAAGAGTTTGCATCCAAGTTACATTGCTGGGACTGTGAATACTTGTCAGTATTGTCTCTTTGTATTGTATTAGGCCGTATACTAAGCATCAGTGGTCAAAAATATGAAACTGCGATATATATATATATATATATATACATAAGGTTTTCTGTGCTGAAAATATTTTTGCGAATCTGTTTGATTTTTTATCATGTAGATGATCGCTTCAAAGTTCTATCGTTCCATTCTACGTGCGACTTCATTTTCTTGTAGGAAATCGAGAAGAATGTTCGAGCTGAAGTGGATAAAGATGTAGAAAAAGCAATTAGTGACCCTGAGCCATCTTTAGAAACTATGTTTGGGAACATTTACCATGGCATACCTCCAAATTACAAAGTCCGGGGCTGTGATGTGAAAACCTGGGGATCGACATTTGTTACAAAGTGGTGAAGGTGGGTTTATACTTAAGAAATGGAGGAGGCTGGTCATTTTGTATCACGTTATTAAGTAGTCAGGTGTGTAGAATATTTTGTTAGGCAAGGAGTCAGGCATGTCTAGTCCTTTATTTTTTTTGACAAAGCCTGGATATCTATCCATAACCTTGTAATTTCATTCCTCTAAAATACACTTCTTTACGTAACTCCAGTTTCAGTTTTTGTTTTGGGCTTTTTGGAATGGGATTTATATTTTCGTCATAATTGTCAAACGAAAGTTAATATAAACCAAAATAACATTGGCAATGCTATCATACTGTATTATGTGTTTTTAATGATGTACTTTGGAAAAACAGTGTTTAGTGAGAATGAAAAGATACTGAAAAGTAATCAGTGTACATACCGTTACATTAAGAAAATATTTTCGATAGACGCCTCATGTAGCAAATCGTCTTGAGCTACTCATTTTAAACCAATTTTACTCGGTAGTGTGTAGTAGAGATTTATGCACAAAAGAGAACGATGGTGCGGTCCTGAGATTTAATCCAGTCATATGCTCAAAGGTGTGATCACCGAAGCTATCATAGCTGTTAATTTCATACTGGAATACACTGAATATCTTTAAGGACATGTAAGTTATAACACTAGTGAAAATTAAATATTAATTTGAACTAGTTTAAAGGCCTGATGCCATTAGCTACCATTCATTTATTTTGACATACTTCGTAGTAGAAATTTTCCGGGCATACATGTTGAGCTTGTGATTTGTCGCCAACCGTAATACTGAGGATTGAGGAACTAATGAAGTTCTCAAGAAAATTCACCAGTGGAATATGGTTGTTATTGCAGCCAAGTGATACAAATCAGTGTTTGTGTGTACTAATTTGTCGACTCACTTGTAGTTCGTCTACTGGGTTTCATTAGCTTCCAGTTCATTTGTTATTGATTTCACTAAGATGATATCATTCAGCTGTGTTTAGATGATTTGTAACTCCAATTCACCATGGAATTATAACTATTTATTTTGTGTATCTAGTAATTCTCTTCTTTGTGGGGGTTCGGGATATTCCTGTTGGACATGCGTAGCTCTTAAAAAGTTGACAGGTTTCTTGTGATATATATTCGGGCATCATCTTGCGTAACATAGCTTCTAAAATTCTAGGTTCTATAGGGATGTAAAGAGTAAGTAGATCTCAGCTGAAACAAAACCATGAATGCCAGTCAAGCTTTAGGCTCACACGATGGTGTATTGACCATATCTACACTGTTCGACTGATTTCTGAATATGTGCATCCTTACCAGTGTTCGGCGATTGCCATAGTACTTGACCTAAAGGCAGTAGATATTCGTTTCCATCGACCGAGAGGTGTTGTGACAATGGCCGTGAAGGGAGTTCCAAGAAATATATCGAACTGATCAAGGCACGCCACTTGAACGCATGCAGGCGTAAAAACTTTCAGAGATTTGTGACATCCACTTTATAGCCTTTCCACTAGTTCCTGTCCATTCTACACGAGCTTATTGATTAGTCATTATCTCACACTTGTTAAGACATGCCAACTTCTGTCTCCTTTCTAACTTACAATTAGTTATCCCTTCTCACCTTACACCTTACATTATGTAGTACAATTTTCAAGGACAAAGTTTACCAGTATCTGATTGGTTTAAAGATTTCTGTGTTAATTATAACTACGATTGTACAGCTCATGAAAATGAATCGTCGAAAAGAAAATTTTCTTCGCTGTTTGTGCATTTTTCTCATGACATCCAGTGTTATCCGTCAATTATTTCCCATGTCTTAATTTTTATTCAACTCCACTGCAGCGGCATTTGTGATAATGAACTTAGACGTCTCAGGGAATGAATAGTTTTGTTGATATGCAATATGCAGACGACATGTTCTTTCCAGAGGAAGGTGCTGACGACATACAGTCTTCTAAACACCTCGAGCATAAATCTTGGTGTTCACCAGGTGGTTCAACTCAGTGTTGCTTCGGGACTGGTCAACACTGACTGATAGCTTAGGATAGGGAGTAAAATGGTTTAGTGTGTTGACTATTGCACTTATTTAAGATACTACGTCAGCCGTAATGGACTGATGGCTGACGAAACCTCAGCATGCATACGTCAGCTCGCTAAGCACTAGCCAGTTCGCGTCATGTTTGACACAGGCATATTGTCTGGTTATAGATGAAAGGATGTGCGTGGTGCGCTGCTTCATACTTCACTACTGCGAGATATGGCCGTTGAATGGCGAAGACATGAAGAAGCTAGCAGTTTGTAACCATTGGTCCCTGTACAACCCCTCATTTTAGATACTGTGATACAATCAGTTATAATGAGTTAGTTGCAGTGTATTGGAGAATGGAAATCGGTCGATGATATTGTGAAGCTGCGTTGTGTTATGCATGCGAAGACAGCACCTTCATCTACGATTAATATCAGCGGTTACAGAATTGTGTCGGAAAAGTTGAACGAAAATATGCCATCAATTCATGAAGTTTCTAACTGTTGATTTGAGCCATGCAGATATGTGTACACTGTTTGGCTGATGTCAGTTGGATGCTACTAATCAATAGTAAGAAGACTGGCGACATGACTCAAAGTGGTTTCCAAAGGTGTTCACGCTTACGTATTAAATGCTCGTTCTTCATGTAACTATTCTTTTTCCCGTACAATTCCATTTGTTGTAGTTCGGTTGTGTTTCTTCTCACTACCTTTATGTGTAGTTTTAGGAAGTGTGGCTATTGAAGTTTAATTCACGTGTGTTGTCGTTACCTAGTGCTGTAATTCTTTGTTTTCATATAAACCGTTCTTAGTATAAAGCGGCACCATGATTTAACGACATAAGGTTGTTTTACTTCACCCGTATTCCAGTACATAATTTATTCAGTTACTTTGAGGGATTCATCTTCTGTAATCTAGAGTCAGGATAATAAATGTGATTTTGTGTGAAGCATATAGTAGTAAAAGAATACTCGGGAATCGTATTTGGACTTCAGTATCATAAGTTTGTGTATCTGTTTAATAGATATATACGAACTCAGAAGTTTTGGCAGCTTTATTAACATGGTATGCTTAAAGGTTTTCGAAAATAAATATCTGTTGTGAAATTAATGACTGTATACTGACCATCCTTAGTTGAGAGCGTTAAATCATGGTTATATCCTAATAACTTAGCCTTGACCACATATTTCGTACATACGTTGCTATGGTATAAAACTAAAAGTACCTACAGGTAACCACTCAGTCACTGAGTTTAGTTTTTTTTTAACTCTCCCTCGTCCGCTTACTGCATAGTTGTTATCCCACTGGGGTGTAAGTAGCATCAGTGCCGTTAGATATATTTGCAGCTATTCAACAGTATTCGTGTAGGTATATTTTCTGAGATTTCAGTGTACTCCATGGTTCATTTTGGAGGGATTTCAAAAAATATTTTCTATATGACTAATACTGAATCATACCAAATGATAATTAAATACAGATAGCTACAAGGGGAAGTAGTGAACACCTCAAGTGGTTAAAAATCTTCAGTATTTCGGTAAGTAAAAAGTCGGTTTTATTGATTGCATATAATTTATTTACACGAGTACGTTGGTGGTTCAGTGGTAGATTGCTCGCCAACCACGCAAGCAATCCAAGGTTTGATTCCCAACCGGCTCACTGCTAAAACTCGCTAAGCCGGTAGTAAGTTTGGTAAAGAGGGAAGTTTGGGCGTACGGCTAGTAACCTCACTCCGTGAAAATAAAAAAACCCACTGCTACTGAAACTTCAAATCTATAGCTTGAAGTCATGTGTTTGTTCCACTCAAAACGTAAAGGAATAAACTAAAAAATATAATAATAACACCCTTTTTTGTCTACTGACACCAACTTTCAGCTAAAGAAATCTTTGAAAACTAGTAATGATTTAGTAGATATTTTGTGTAGTTTGAGATGAAAAAGTTGTTATTACTTCCCATCCTACTGGTTTAATTAGGACGTTTTTGGGTTTAAGTTCAAGAAATTGTTGACTGCTCACACATTGTAATTTCAAACAGTAGCTGAACAGTTATGTAACTTCTTAATAAGCTGCAGAGCCTGATAACAATCTATATTTAGCAGAAGTGATTTACATCTGTTCGTAATACAGCTTTAACGACGATCTGATCAAAGAGACTAAAACATACATTCAAACAGAGAAATTAGTTCTTATCACCCTATTTCTCATATAAACAATGAAGTTGAGTATATATTTTATAATCAGATATTTTCATTTGAAAAATCACAGTGTTACATATTGTGTATTTACTAATGTCGTTTTAAGCAGAATTTATTGGTCATAATCTTATCCAGGTATTCAAAGTGTGTAGATAGTAATGAAACTACCACAGTTATGTGTTGCACTGTGTACTTTTCATGTAACGGTGATGCAAACGACTGGCTGTTTAATTGCTAGGGCTTGACTGGGTTGGTTCTTAGTGCAGTCATAACAGCTACTCATGGTAGACTGTTTTAATCACATAAGATTCCACCGAATGTGTACCAGTACATGAAGTAAGAACCCCAATAAAATATTACTTACTGTTATTCTATAATCAGTGGATTGGCATTTATTTCAAATTATGACCTAGATAATTTAATCACAAACTTTCTGAAACAGTAAATTATCAATCAATAATATTACCAAAAGTTATTGGGAAGCCAGGTATCATATTGCGCTGATATGTATCCTAGATTTTCTGATTTAGTATCTGCTTGGAGAACCAAGGCTTTCTAGTTATTGTCGAAGAAATCTTACGATTAGTGGCCGTTGAGTTCTGTAGATACAGCTCAAAATATCCATAGAAATTATGCCTTATCTTTCTTGTATTTTCCATTATCAAAATTAAAACAATCACTTTAGAATAGGAACTCCTTATCGTTCAAAACACGTAACTTTATCGTTATAATCTTTGGGCGTAGCTTTCCATTCAGCTTGATTTCAATGTTCCTAATGGTTCAACATTAGTGATCACACTAAATACAACAGAAAGAGAAGTTATGAAGACATACACGCAACTTTTGAAGACGAATTTTGATCGGTGATTTCACGCATAATGAGTTTAGTCTGTGCTGCCCACATATGGTTTAATTAAGGTATATTAATAGTTGTATTCCCTTGGTGGAGGTGCGTAATAAGTAACTTTTCTTCATACACTGATTTCTAGGTAAGAAATGTGAATCAATTTATGAGAATCTGAATCTTCATCAGTTGTTTATAGTCGGGGGGCATACGCGACTCATACTGAACCCGCCAACTTCATTAATGCACAGTCTTAGCTCAAGTAGTTAGACTGTG